AGACAACAACAGCGCATCCAGGGGCACTTAAAGACGCGATTCCACCTACCCCCCTGCTAGAAATATTCGTTAACAAAGATCGAGGAGGTAACTTCCTTGTTGATATATTTGAGAAATAAAACTTCTCGGAGTAACATGTAAACGAAAGTATATTCTTTATTGCACAAATGCAGAAAAGCACAATGTACTGTCGTCTGTATGTTACTAAGAAGTTTTATTCCTCGAAAATATCAACAAGGAAGCTGCAGCTACTTTCTTCTTGCTCCATAAAAATTTTTGTTCACGTTCAGTTCTGTATTAAGTTTGAACCAAATATTACAAGCAGAGTAAAAAGGTGAGTTTTACAACCTAACTTGAACACGCTTAATTAATACTTCCTGTCCGATCTAAAAACATTTCTAACTATGCATATAACGTAAAGATTTCCAGCATTCCAATAAACTATGAAGCACGTGAGCATTACTTAATTCGTTCCGCGGATACGATAGCGGAATGTAAACAATCATAATTAGATAAGGAGAACCGATAAGAATTATATTGTGGAAAGCTCAATGAGAAAACGCTGTCCATTTTCCTGCTCGAAGAGCTACTTCGAACGCTTCCTCCAAACCTCACAACTCTTTAAAAGGCTATAAAAAATGTTAGTAAAATCCTCTGGTAAAGTTTGGACAAACAGCTTAGAGAAACACGCTGTTCAAACTCACTCGGACGTTCTCAAATAAAATTGTTTTTCGAAAAAACCGTGGTGCAACCGACTGCACACTTCCGACTACACGCTGGTCACTCTTAAGGAACCAACTTGACACACATACATAAACCCACAAGCTGCTACTCAGCCGTTTCGACGCCTGCACGCATTCCTAGAAACCATATTCCTAAACATCTCGGTCACACTTTCTAACGCAGAACTCTCTTTACCTTTTAAAAATGTAACAACACGTTGGAAATAATTTTTCGATACACTTGAAACTTTAAAATAGCGAAAGCTCGCGTGGACGCGGACCGCATTTAGCTTCATATTTTTCGAGCGTACCAAAAATCGCTCCACGTTTTTGAAATACAGACTTTGCGGAGGTAAAATTCCAGGAATAGGGCAATGTATCGTTCCGGCTGTTACGTGACCAGCACGTTATAGTGCCAACTTGCGGTATCGAGTTAAGGGGGCGACATTCTCCTTCCACCGAATTTTCATTGCAATGCAAACAGAAGATGTTTATCTTTACGCGACGCTCAATCACATCGTTCGCAAGCGACCATCGTTAAATCGAGATCAAATTTTGTTCGCTACTTAATTTACACGCGGAATATTGTTACCGTCACCCTCTGTATTCGTGTACCTACACACTTCCCCAAACGCGTAATGAAAACGTTTAATAATAATTGTTTCTGGTATTTAAGTGTTTTCGAGTATTTACTTTGACCGTAATATTTCGAAAAGAAGAATTCGTGGAGTGTACGTTCTTTAAAGTGGCTGGGAAGCAGCAGTAGCGGCAGAGTGGCTGAAAAGCGTACGTTTACATTTGGGGGGAGGTGCGGGGGAGTACGTTTTCAGGGGCGGCCAGTGCGTTGTGCCAGAACGGAATTTATGCAGCGAGAATAGCGAGCTGAGTATCCGGAAAGTTTTGGCGCGAACGCAGCGAGGTAAAACGGGAGAGAGAATTCTGTACAGGGTATTTTAATTATTTTGAACAGCGTAGCCGTCGAGAAACATCGAAAGGAAACAGAGTAATTTTCCAGTTTAGTGACTTTTCTCAATTTTAACTGTTTGACTTTAGACTTTTTTTCAATACATTGCTTAAAAAAAGTTAACGATCTTACGAGGCAATTTCGACGCGTGCTAAGCAAGTTCAAGTTTTAAGTTGGAGTCGAACGAAGAACGATATAATTAATTTTACGAGAGGAAAAATTTACAATTTCACGTTTGCTTAATAAAACAAAAAGTATTCTAGTTTCTCGAGTTCACCGAATCGATTTGTCGTTCTAGCGAGAAAATGAAGCTTCTTTTAAAAAACTGAAATCGATCGATCGAAATTGGAAGAAGTCGGTAAACTGCAGAATTACCGAAAACAGTACAGCCACAGTTACATGCTTCCTTCTTCCTCGTCCAAGTGTTGATTGCGGCCTACCCGATAAAAGTACAAGGTTAACGTCACTCGTGTATGGAACAGATAAGAACTACACGCATCGTTTCAATAACTCACACGACCGAACGCGTCGCGACAACTGAAAACTATCTTTAATTACGTCCGCAGTTACACAACCAGCTCGGCCCGTGGCCACGATGTTTCCCCCTTATTCTCGTTATTACGGCGTTTGCTAGCTAAATCTGCGCTGTATTTAGAAACTAAAAAATTTCTTTCGCGAATTTTTACCTCGATGACATAATCGGAAAACGAGCAATCCCCCGAAACGGACTCGCCGCAGTAAACGTTGGATAATCGATAAAAATATTCTCTTAAATATAATAAATGTTTAAAAGAGCGTAGAACGTGGTTTAAAATTCGCGTAAAAACCCGCAAGGACGAAACGACTTGATATTTCGAGCGACCAATAAATTTGCCAGTATACTGCCGCGAACGAAACATCAAAGAGGGAATTAGGCCATTTGATTCACTGTGCAGCGCGTAAAGTAATAAGCGTAGAAAGCACGTCCTCGGAACGAAGAAACGAAACAGTTTGTAATTCGATAATTTTACAGAGTCTGTGTAACGACGTCGTTTTATGGCTCGTCTCGCTCGATCTGCACGCGTGGATCCTTGAAGCGCGCCAGAGAGGAAGAAGGCAGAACGCGAGGAACAAGTAACGAGGTTACCGGGACGTCCCACAATTAATTTGCTTGCAAACGGTTACGCTATACGAATAATTATTCAAAGTTCTAGCTACCGTCTTTGACGCTGCTTGCACAAAGTGCAACCATTCGGAGGTTTCGAACGATGCATCAACAATATCAGGTTAAAATACGTTTGCTGGCCATAAGGAAAACTCACGGTTGCATTTCAATCGATCCTGGCCTAACGAGAAAATATTCACAGACTTAAAAAATTTCAAATTCGCTTTTCATACTGCAAAGCACTGTACAGAAATTCCAGCAACAGTTTGTTACAATATATTTCATTAATACCTGGGTATTGCGTACTTGCGTAATAAAGACATTGTAATAATAATGTATACGTTCCAAAAGAATTAATAGAATTCGAACGAACTGCCGAGAACAAACGATCGTTTTTCTTTTCCTCGGACGGAGTCGGGTAACGTTGCTTTTTTACAACTCCGTGTTCGATAAACTCGAAAGTCAATCGATGTCAATTAAAGAGCGCGCGAGCTTCATTAAAATACAATTAAAAAGAAAGCCCGTCCCGTAATTCTAGCGGTTTAAACGCATCGTTAAAATTTGTCTGAGTACACGTCGACGAAAAAGGGAATATTACAGGTTCGTCCAATTCTCTGTGCGCAAAGTAGTAACATATTAAAAGTTCTTTTCATATTTAATTACAGTTTCTGGAATTTTGTCTCGTATCGCGGTACCCTTCAATTTAATCTCATTTCTATGCAAGCTTTTCAAACATCCGCACGAACTCGACTCTATTCATTGGAATACTACATACATACATAGTACCTCCGTACTTTTCCATGCATTCTTCTTCCAATGACAATCCTTCGTTTTAATAAATACTACGAGCTCTTCAATTATTCATTTTACGAACAAGTTTTCGAACGTTCTTTTGGAGCCGCGATCCTGCATAAATTGTTTTTTCGTATTAAAACGTTAAGAACAAAGAACACGAAGTTTGTAAAGAATTTCACGATCGATTTATTATCGCCGGAAACGGTGCAAGTATGTCGTCCACTATATGCAAACACCGACCGGGAAAAGTTTAAGGCTATAATGAACCACCACCCGTGTTTGCAAAGCGATTCGAGTCGCTGTATGTTTAAATTTATGTATGCATTACGTAGTTCGTCGAAACGACTGTCACTTTCCGCAAGTACAAGTGCAAAGACTTAATTTGCCGAGAAACGTGCCGCACAGTCCCGACATCGATGGCATTGCACTTGTCCGTAATAATTCTTTGACAATGGAGCGATACAAAACGTAAACAACAATGAATAAAGGAGGCTGAGACGCCGCGACGACTTTCAAACCAAGTTTCACTCTCTCGACGAAACATTCTTTCCTCGCTAACATTTCCATGCGATGAAACTTAAATAGATCATCAAACGAGCAACAACGTTTCACGAACTCGTGAAAATAACCCGTTCAATGTCGAATATAACAATTAGAAGCCAGAGGGAAAGTTCGTTATCTGGATAAACGTTTCGGAGTATCGTTAAACTAAACGCGAACGAAAATGAAATCGATCGCGAGAGTATCGTCTGCCAAAAGCTCAACGAAAATTTGTTTGCAAACACAAGCTGGCAAGGACTCGCGAGAAAGACGGTCATCAGAATGGAATTTATAGTGAATAGAATTTATATTCGAGTCCCATGATTGCTGCCAGCAGCCGTGTCGAAGCCAACTCAATTTACCTACAACCCGAAACTAACCTCTAACCTAATAATTACGTATTCGCGAAGCATCGATATCCCGTTAACGTTTGAGAATAATTTCCAACGTCACGCACCAGTTTTCGTTGCGAACGCGCGGTACAACGAAACCGTTGTCGCGAACAACGTTCGATCGTAGTTTCGGAGCAACGATTTTTGTTACGTTGGGCAAAGAAGAATATTATCACGAAACACAATCCTATACGCAACGTATGTAACTTGGTCGATGACGCAATTACTCGAATGTTCTTTCAATTCGCAGCCACGTTCGTATCCTCGGTTGCGATGTAAAAAAAAGGATAGCGGAAAGATAAATACGATCGAGAGCTCCATGGAAAACAACGAAACGATAGCTCGAGCGAAGAACGAGCATCGCTGACGACGTTGACAAACAGCGTACTTGTATCGATCGCAATCGGGAAAGTAACGTTTAAAATAGTAATTTAGTCACTTACATAAATTGCGAGCAGCGATATTGCGCTCCGTCGGCTGGTCGCAGAGCAAGCGTATAGTATATCCAATAATCCACAGAGAAAAACGTAGTACTGCACTGATAAAACTCTCACTTTTTTTTTTTTATCGCCGAGTAATCGGCTTTTCTTTCGAATCATTGATTCAAATCACACACGAAACAGTCGCACCGCCTTGAGGTTTGAACGAACACACCTTTCACGAAGCACCACAAACAATACGAAATTGCATCAATGAAGTGTACTCGATGCCGAGAAGTCGTTGGTCGAATAGCACCATATTTTCAACGTCTGCGCGTGTATGTGTACATAAACGCCTGGGTATCGTATCCGATGGAAGAAAACTCCTTACTGAAAACCACGAACGTTGGTTACGACCGCACTCGAGAGATTCTCCGAAGGAACTGCCGCGTTCGCGGTACTACGGACGCGCGCTTTGCCCCGTGAACTTGGTCGAGTCGAAAGAACCGAATCGTATCGAGTGCAATCGATTACAACTATCGAAGCGAGAACCATGGGAAAGCGCGAAAATCGAACCACACTCCGGAACCGACGACGGGTCGCGCGTCGCGCGTCGACAGACGTAAAAGCAATGCGGCACGAAATCCTACAGAGCCACTGGTTAACGAAAGCAACCGATCGGCCGATCCGATGGAACACGAGAACGTACGAGAACGCGATGTACTATCGATGATCGAAGATTCTCGCTCGCAACAGAGAAACGAGCAGGACAGAAACCGAGACGGATTACATATAGAGCGCACGCGCGCGTTCTAACGCGCTTTCGTTACGTAAAAGAAGTGCGCGTCGGTTGAACGTCACCACATCGGGATGGTACACACTCATGACTCCTGGTAAAAGGCGTAGAGAAGCGGTTGGAGAACCGGGTATATTTTACCACGGACGCGAAAGGCACCGTGTGCTAACCTACTTCTCCTTCCGTTGACTGAAACTCTTCGCACCACCAACGACGACGGCGACAACGACCACGACGGGAACCCACACACGGGCGGCACGGTACACGCGGGCTCTCTTGTTGTCTCTCCTATCCTCGCGACGCGCGCGGAACCCTTCCTTCGGCTTCGCTGTTGTGTCACCGCGACACCGCGAAACCAGAAAACAAACAACTGCCGTCGAGGACGCGTCTTATTTGCAGGAAAACTCGGCTCTTTTTCACTGGGCGGAACTCGTTGTCGTTGCGAGGGAAAAGGGGGACACAGAGGGAAAACGAGGAACACACATACACAGTGACGCGCGCGTGCCCACGGGAGGGAATGAGAGAAGATAGAAGGAGAAGGAGAAAAAGAGAGAGAGACAGCGCGGCAGAACGTCACAATCCGACTACAACGGAGGTCCGACTCGAACTGAGCGCCGAGCGGCTGATCGAGGCCGACGTCGGCCGACTCGGCCGAACCGAGGCGCTCGCCGATAGCGCGCTCCTTCCCTCCCGCCCACCCTCGCCAATGCTTCCCAGCCGCCACCCTCTTGCCTCTTGCTCTTCCCTCTCTAGAACACACGGCCCACCTTCCTCGCCGCGCGTTCCTCGCCAGTCCTCCCGCTTAGTCTCGCGTTCCCGCTCTTTCCCCTCCGAAACAACCTCCTCCCCGCACCAAACAACCCCCGCCACCCACCGCCCCCTCCCACCAAAGTTTCCGACACACCGGTAACTTATCGGAATTTACTCGTTACTCCGAATTCGTGAGCGACCGCGTGCCGAACGATAACGCAGCGCGCGAGAATACCGATAGACGCGAAAACCCCTCGCGATCAACAAATTTAAGAAACCAGCCAAAGTATCGTTCCGCCGATCAACGGGACGGAGCACGGTAATTAAGTGTTGCTTTCGAGTCCCAAGACGTTGTCGATCGTGCCGCGTTGGGTAATTAATTGCCGAGCAGACGACGGCCTCGCTATTGTGCGATTCGAGCTAGGAAAATCCTTTCCCTTGCTTCTTCTTTTCTTTACAGCATTTTTATTACTACCAAACTGATTGTATATCGAACCCATCGTAATAGTTGACTAACGATTGTTACGATGTGCTATTTGTATGCGTCATTGTAGGATAGTTTCCAATCGACAACCTCGAGTTTAGATGGGTCGATAAATAAGAATGCAGAAGGAGCAGTCATCCAGCGGTGAAAAGTTAAGTGATACAGATAAAACAGAAATACGTGTAGGTAAAAGAGAAAAGAAACGTCGCAATGTACGAGAGAGAGAGAGAGAGAGAGGATGCGGTCGCTAGAGAAATATTTAACAGCGAAACGAAACGTAAGATGTGAGAGTATAAATATAAAGAGGCGGGAAAGCTTTCGCGATCGAGTATAACTTTATATTGCAAATGTTAAAGGTAGTATGCATTGAAAGACGTATAAAGTATAAAGTAGGAAGCGAGAGGTACTCGAAATGAAATGATAAAAACCATAAAAAATGAAATCAAAGTAGTTTCCTTTTGTCGACTAAACTGATCTTTATAATCTGCAACTATACGATGGAAAAATAAGAAAGAATAAAGAAATATTCATTACCAACGCTTGTCTATGGATACATTGCGAAACAATACAATGCAGCGGACCTTCGTACGTGAAATATCACAAACGTTGAGTAATGTAAGAACTATCGAATCGGGAAACATTGGAAAGTTTCCAAAAAACGAGATCATTACTTTGCTGTGGCTCCTGACTGCCTCTGGAAACTCTCCAGAAGATGTATAGCGTTGACTCCTCGCGTAATATCAGCGAAGGTATACTTTTAAAATAGCCGAAACGAAATTAATAACATCGTACTACCTCTTCCTTTATACTTTGAATATTTTATATTCGGGCCATCCGGAAAATGGAAAATACAGTAATAAAATGATGAGGCATGAATGCTTCAAAGATTCTCGACAAAAACGTTTTGAATTTCAGTAACTGTAGCTTCTCCAGCAAGGTGTGGGAATTCCGATGAAGGGAACAAATATTGATTCAGTACGAAGGGGGGAATGTATGCTACGTTGATTCTACGTTGAAGCATTTAATAGAAGAGCGGAATAGGATAAGAAATAACGATATAAGATTGACGGAAGTATCAAGAAATAACGGAACAACTGAGAAGAGTAGAGAGTACTTTCCAATTTATGAATGAATTTCTGTAGCTAGTCCCACGCGCTTCTGCTTTGATGCTATTATTAAACGTGAACGCGTACACTGCCAGTTTTCTGCTAAATCGTGACCATGGAAACTAGCCTTAATCGTTGCAAAAGAATGTCTTTTTTACGCTCCTGTGGACGAGATTAAAATTTTGTGTTGTCATCGTTGAACCTACAGAGTCATTCTAGGGTTAATTGTGTTTGGTTCACGTTCCATAATTGCATCGAAGGATCGGTAAATTGCACGTTACCTGGGTTTGTGCAACCGTTTCTGCCACCTTCGAAAACCGAGGCACGACGGGGTACGGGTACGCGAAACCTTGCCGACTTACCAAAGCCGTTGAGTAACTTTCGTACGTGTCTAGTCGCGACTCGCGCCGATGTCCAACAAGTTGTCGACATCGCGCCGGTAAACACGGCAACCGATAGAGACTGCACGACATTAATCACTTGGAACGCCCGTCATCCGCCTCATCTTCGATCGCACAGGAAGACACGTTGGTGTCGATTTTGAGGAGGTGGCTCGCAGTGGAAGAGACGCACGGATGAACTGGCACTTCTCCAAAGTGCAAATTTCACGTGTGGATTACCGCCGGAAGCGCGGACAAGATTTTATGCATACCACCTAGCGCCGTTTCAAGATGAGTCATTTCATTCAGGCAAGACACTCGCAAGTCTGTCTTCGTACTAAACAGGAAAGCAACGCAAACTTTACAACGTTTGATGCGACGATTAACTTTAGCAACATCGAGCCACGAGCAGTCTTAAAGAGAGTGGGGAAAAAGAGATTGTTAAAAATATTTGAAAAGTATTCGAATCATCATGTACTTGTAATGCTATGATATCGAGACGTAAACTTGGTCGATTCGTTCGAGGCTTGACATTGACAGTTAAGACTACGCTCGCAGATAAGGTTTCCGTACTTGTCCTTCTTTATTTCGACAAAGTGACGCGATAATGCAGAGATAGTAGTCAATAAAAATGCGACAAACACGCGGAGCGATTCGACACACCCACTTTGAAATTGTCGTAACTTCGTAGATTTTTCTTTCCTTAAAATTGTATTACAATTAATTTACTACGGGACCGTGTAGGATCGATTCAAGGATACGTCGCGTCCACGTTCGCGAAATTACAAGATTGTCGGTAATTCCTATAAATGGCGGCGATCAACCGGCGCCAATTACGGCGTTCGACGATGTAGCAACGCGACCGAACAGCGTACGTGGATGAAGACGGTGCAAAAACGGAGGAAAAGACAGAGAAAGAACGTACAGAATGCCAAATCTAGGTCACGACCCAAATCATTCTCCTCCGGCCTCCGTTTGAATCTTTCGCAATGCATGAAAGTGCCCAAAGCGTTTCGAAAGCCCCCGCTCGAGCGAATACTCTGTTTCACCCGTGAGCTTTCCTCGTTTTCTCCAATTGAATCTCGAGCGAGCTTCAAATAAAACCACGAAGCCGCAGACATGCATTACGTATGTTCCTTGTCTGGGGCTCAAGCGTAGATACTTCATGTGCCGCATAAAACGTTGTTCATATCCTTGCAATAGCACGAAGCTTCTTACACGCAGAGTTTCTTATCAGCGGCACTGTTTCGTTCCATTAGATTGCATAAACGGTAGAATGTTATCATATCCTCTCGATACATACTGTTAGAGTCCGACTCGATTCAGCTCCCCTTACTATGCAAGTTGCCTTCGAATAGGATTCTCAGTTGTACCTTCTTAAAAGGTTACACTACTATGTAGGCTACAAAAAGGACAACCTTTCTGAACTTTTTGTGAAAGAAAAGGACACGAAAATGAAATGATCTCTAGCCTTAAATAGCAAAAAAGAGACTGCAAAACCTTCTATCAATTAAACGATATTTGTTTTGGTTTTCTTATGTTCCATGAATCTTGGCCACACATATGATCCATCTTGCTGTTTTGATCGTCGTGTTTCCGCGCTGTTCTGCTTTTTCCCGTTTACGTCTTTTATATCCTTCTTGCCGTGTTTTGTCAACCCACTCTAAACTCACACTTTCTCAATCCTTAGTGGCTTTCTTGTTTTACTATCAGGATGTGGTTTATGGTCCCTGTCTTTCTTCTCGACTTTCCACGTTTGTTCGTTCTATCCAAAATGCGTAGCTTCGTTATTCTTACCGTTCTCGTAAATTCGACCACATTACTCCTCGATTTCAACGTTCTAGCTCGCTACATATGTGGCTGGGAAGGATTCCCCATTTTTGCCGCTTTGTTTACAAGTTCTTTGTCTCAAAATCTTCCTTCCTCTCGCCATAAAGTACTTATGGAAAGCATTGTTGACTTCAGGATCAAGGTGAGTAAATCCCAAGTTAAGAAACATAACTCTAACGCGTTAACGTAATCTATTCTACCCTTGTCGAGTAAAACTGTATTTGTACGAAAGTTTCCGCAATTGAATTAAAACATACGTCGACTGTAGGAGCTTGAGGGTCCCGCCAGAAACGTTCCCAACCGGGCCCTGCAGTTTCTAATAGTGTCGAGCAAAACGTAATCACACTATAATTACACGATAATTAGATAGTTTTTACGCGTTTTAAAGATTTGCAACTATAATTACTCCGCGTTTGGACGGTAATTACCGTGTGACTACGCGCCAGTCGTATCGCGGTGAACGCAATTAGATTACACTTTGCCCCATTCTGATAGCTAACGGGTACCAAACGATAAATGACTTTGGAGTATCGATACGGTATCATTCCCATCGCTGACAAC